AAATTTCTTTTATTGAAAAATTATCTCAGCATAATAATCGTAAAAAGTAATTGAAATTTTACTACTATCGTAATTTGTTTTTATTGAAACTGTGTCTCCAATTATATTAAAATCATAAAGATCAGAGCTGCACAAAAAAAAAAAAAAAAAAAAAAAAAAAAAAAAAAAAAAAAACAAAAAAAAAGAAAAACGACTTAAAAGGTACAGGGAGTACGAGAGAATAAAAAAAAATTTAACATTCGACAATCAGTTCTAGAATTATTAACTGTTAAATTTGTAGAGAAATAAGTACCATGCTGGGCGATCTGTCACTGGTTGAAAAGCAAAAATGGAGTTTTGAAATGCAACAATGGAGCCATTTTTATCCGTGATTTTACAATGAATCTTGTTTCAAAATTTCTATTTACTAAATCGTTTTCGCAAATTTAAGTGCTTTTTCATGTTTTTTTTTGCTTTGATAATTGACTATTAATCCATTGTTGACTACTCAATAAATCAGAATTGTTTTAGTTGAACTACCTTTATCCTTGTTGAAAAAGAAATTTAAATCACAGTTGTTGCAGTTGTAGTTCATTTACGTCGCATTAGAGCTGCACAATTGGCTATTGGCGACGGTCTGGGAAACATTCTTGAGGATGATCCGAAGACATGCCATCACAATTTTGATCCTCTGCAGAGGGGAATGGCTCCCCTTCTTTAACAGTCCGACGACCCGGGAGCGAAGTCGAGTACTTTACGGTAGAACAGTTTAACGAGGACCCATACCGCTGACCCTCGGTCCCAACTCAGGTGGACTCAACAACAATGGATGAATAATTATTTTCTGGAAGAAAAAAAAGTTTATAAAAAAATTCATGAAAATGGCACTAAAATTTGCAATAACTTTTTAAAAACTGAAATTTGAAAAAAAAATCTTTCATTGAGTTCATAAATGAAAATGGTTCTATCAGCATGTGCATTTCAGTTGGCAGTAGATCAGCACACACGGTATTTTTTTACAACAGTTTGACGATTCTCCAACTGATAATTAAATATTAAATTTTTTTTATCCCATCGTACTCCATGTACAGATTTATACATATTTTCGAAGTTGCAAACTTATGAGTCTTAATCAATACTTTCAAACAAATTAAAATTTCAAAAATGCTCTTGCTAAATTCATTAACAAAAATGACCCTTTCAAGTCTTATTTCAAGTTTTTAATTGCATCCCAGAGGCCTGCAGTGCAGCACACAGGATACCTTTTGCGACAAGTTCAACTATTAATAATTTCAAACAATTGATCGAATGTTAATTTTTCTTATTTCTTTAAGCTCCCCGTACATTTTTCTAAACACCTACTGTAATTTGAAATTTTTGTAAGTCTTATAGTTTTTATACAGCAAAACAAAGTTGAAAGTTGAACACGCAAAACTACGGCATCTCGTGCGATTCTTTAATATTAGCTGTCGAAATGGGCTACAGGTGGCGTAGAGCAGAAATCTTTAAATATGGCAACACTTCACATGCTTTCACCATTAGCGTGAGGAGAGTCATAGAAAAAGGAAATCCGTTATTTTCTGTCTTCACTTTTAAATAGATTAAAATCTCTTAAGTTGGGAAACTATATGGAACTGAAAACTACATTAGACATAGTTCTAAAAGAAAGCGTCATGGAAATTTAAAAAAATATTTTTAACAATTAAATACGAAAAATATTAGGAAAGGGAAAAATATCGTAGTACATTCCTACACAACTGAAAAAAGGTGGAGAGGGAAGGGGAAAGGGCCAAAATCATGGAACCGGTCTTCTCCCCAGATGGCGTAAACGAGCGTTGCGATCGCCTATAGAGAGATCATATTTTCGACAACCAAGTAGTATTATCAAATGCTTTATTATAAAAGACAATTTGATATTAAACAATTAACAAAAAAAATAATAATGACAGTTTTCTCTTGGTGTATTGAAAATGGAGTTGAACGCATAAGAGCCCCACTACCTTAGGGCCTCGCTAAGCTTAAATCCGGCTCTATATATAATCTGTAATGTTCCCGTGGAGATTTGCCACTTTTGTCGGGTATTACATTTCACTTAGAAAAGAAATGGAAAAACAAAGCACCCTAGAGTACAGTAAGCAAAATAAAAAACTAACAATGCTTAATATCTTTCGATCTAATGAACGTATCTTCTCGTTCTGGAATCATCCTCAATTATTCAAAGGGGTTACCTCAAATATGCCAATTAATTAGTGCAGACGATATTTAAAGTTACGAAATTAGGCACAAAAATGCACTTTCTCTAAATAATTATACGGTTCCCAGCAGATCACCGAAGTCAAGCATCACTGGCTACGGTCAGTGTGCGGGTGGGTGACCACTTGGATCAGTCTGCGTAGGGACCGAGGGTGTGCGGTATTGGTCCTCGTTAAACTGTGCTACCGTAAAGTGCTCGACTTCGCGCGCAGGTCGTCGGGCTACCGAAGCGGGGGTGCCATCCCCTCCGCAGAGGATCAAAATTGTGATGGCATGTCTTCGGATCATCCTCCGGGATGTTTCCCAGACCGTCGCCAATAGCCCATTGTGCAGCTCTAGTGCGACGTAAATTAACAACAACTAAATAATTATACCTTTCCTCCGACCAGGGCCTGATTATCGCCTGGCCCAATAGGCACGGGCCTAGGGCCCCCACTTTTTGGGGGGACTCAAAAATTAGTAAAAAGTCCACAAATTACTTTTTTTTAAATACTGAAAGAAACAGTTTTTCCCAAAAAGAGACATTTTTTATTTCAAATTTTCTTTATATTGTGGTAAACCGAACTCGTGTAAACATTGCACTTATCAAATTCCAAAGTATAGCTGAAATTTAATTGGTGCAATTTTTACTCCAGAGGCTTAAGCAAATGCAACAAGAATGCATATTCGCAAAGTCTCTTATAATAAATTATCAGTGTCAACAAGAACTAAAAGCTATTATTAACAAATATGTAAAGCTGTAGATGGAAGGCTACAATCTTTAAAATAATTCAGCTAATCATTGTTTAGCAAAAATCACTGATTTCACTTGTTTGTGATCACCAAACCATTTTTATTTTCACCCAACATTTTATATTTTCCTTAAACATTTAGATGCGCAAACTTTATCTTAGAAAAATAATCTTTAATTGTCTGCTTTCAAATTTTTTTAAAATGCTTCTCTTGAATCATGCAGTTCAATAGATTCTTCGTATTGTTAGGACTACTCTTCAGAAATTTAATTTCAAAATATTTTGTTAGGAGCCCGGAAAATTTGGTGGGCCTTGGGCCTGAATTTGTCTTGATCGGTCCCTGACTCCTATGGATTCCAATTTCCGACCCCAAAAAAATAGGGGGTAGCCACCATCTGGGAAATATAGTCTCGATAGTTTGGTCAAGAGAACGTTCCAAAGTTTGGACCCCTTAATGTTAATTTTACTTTTTATGTATTTCGCCATATCTCGAGAAATTTTTAAACGAATTGAAATTTTTTACACACAATTATAAAATCCATTTATCCAAAAATAATTCTATGCAAAAATAACTTTTAATACATTTTTAATCATTTTTTATTATTTTATTTAATATTAGTCATTTTTGAAAGGAGGATTACATTTTTGAATTGTAAGGTATAAAAAATTTTACATCGTTTCAAAGAATATAATTTCACATGGGAAAATACAAAATTTAAGTGAAATCAGTTGAATAATAAGAGAAATCTAATTTTTAAAATACGACATTTTTGAAATTCGATTTCTCAGGAACTGTTCGACCGATTTCACTAAAATTTTGTAATATGCCATGTAAAAATGTATTCTTTGAAGTGGTTTAAAAAATTATGCACCTTACAATCGAAATTTTTTTCGAGTAACATTGAATAAAAAAGATTGCTAAATTTAACTAAAAGTTATTTTTTGCTTGGAACTATTTTTGGATAAATTAATTATATAATTGCGTGTAAAAAATTTCAGTTCGCTTATAAAGTTCTCGAGACAAAGCAAAATACACAAAAAGTAAAATTAACATTAAGAGGTACAAACTTTGAACCGCTCTCCAAACTAACCTATTGAAGGGACCATTTTTTCCAAATTGCGGCTAACCCCCATTTTAATTTTGGGTCAGAAATCCGAATCCGTCGAAGAAAAGGTCTGCTGATTCAGAGAAAGTACGTTTTTGTGTCTGATTTCGTAACTTAAAATAACGCCTGCTCTTATTAAATACCATATTTGAGTTCACCCCCTTGAACCAGGGGCGGATCTACTTAAGGGCTTTTTGGGCTGCAGCCCAGGGCCCCGTGGGTACAAAGGGCCCCAGTTCCCACTGAAAACAATAAGTGATATTTTGAATTGAAAAAAATATCGAATATTAGAAAAAAAATATATAAATTTGGCAACCCTGAGATCAATCAACCAATGCATGTGCGCGTCTATCGAACGGAACGGGGAATTATCCGTCGCTTGTTTTTGGTCAGTGAATTTTTTCGCGTCTATTACGGGGGACTTCCCACAGCGCCGCTTAACGCCCGACATAATTTTGCTTTTTTTTTTCGAGCTTCTGTTCTCGTCGTCAAAGTGGCAAACTTGTTTAGTTTACTAATAACTGTCTTGACTACCAGAAACCCTCTGATCCCACTGAAAACTATATTGGTGGCAAGAGGACTGTTATACCGAGGCGGAAAGAAATTTAGAGAATATTAAGTTTGTTGTTGTTGTTGTTAATTTACGTCGCACTAGAGCTGCACAATGGGCTATTGGCGACGGTCTGGGAAACATCCCGGAGGAGAATATTAAGTTTGAGAAATATGTTGATGTGGGCTTGTGGCCAGAATTGCTAGATAAGGATTTTATTAATGATATACTCTCACATGAAATGACTGACTTTCAAAATAAAGATCCGAAAAATATATATTCATCTTCAATAAAGAAATACAAAGAACAAAACCGAACATTTTCAAATAGGTATTTCATTAAGAAAATGACAAATTATCAATCACTGGAAAGATCTTGGTAATGTTCTTCGACCATGGTAGGTACTGTTTTTGGTTTTTGACTTGCAAACTTTTTTCTAAAATCCCTTCTCAATACACAACCGGATTTTCTGATTGGAAACGCATAGGAACTTGTTTAGAAAATCATGAAAATTCTAATGAGCATAAGAAATCAATGTTAGTGTGGTTGACACGTGAAGGCAACAAGTTAATTGTATCATTAAAAGACTTCGTGAACAACATAAGGCACCAATCAGATCAGAAGCTAAAGGAATACGAAGAGAAAGCTAAAAAATTAAGTACTAGTGTGGGAATAAACTACAATGACGTAAACAAGAGACGCACTACTCCAAAATTTTCAGATAAGTCTACCGATAAATTCTCAGTATACGGCGCAGGAAAATTTAAAAGAGACACGCTAAACGTTGCGTTAGATAAGCTGATTATGGATTTAAATAAAAGGAGCCAAGTGTATGAGATGTATAGCAAGAAATTCAAATTTTTAAGGGATTTGCATGACAAAAATATGGAAAACATAGATCTGGAAAGTGTACGTAATATTGTTGATTATTATCCAGATGACGTGGACGAGAATTTAGTGAATGAGTGCATTCAGTTAAAATCTTATTTACTTCAGTCTAAGCCAGAGTCTTACACCTCTTGTGTGAAATTTTTATGCTAATTTATGAAAAGAAATTTGCTGATGTTTTTCCAAATTGCTACACTATCTTAAAGATTTTTTTAACTTTGCCAATCACTAGCTGTGAAGCTGAACGCTCTTTCTCCAGAATTTCATATATCGAAAACAAATATAGGACAACAATGTCGAACCATCGACTAAATCATTTATCAGTTCTTTCCATAAACTGTGATTTAACGAAGGACTAACAATGTGATGAGCAAATAAAGGAATTTGCACCACAAAAATGCAGAAAGGTTGCTTTATAATTTATATAACATAACTACACATAACCTGTCAATTGCTTTTGCAATAATGATGTACAGTTGCTGTTTGTATAGACAAATAAAAATAAATAAATAAAATTATTTTATTGTCCTATTTTTTCTATATACTTATCTACACCACTATAGAAAAATTTTCTTGACAAAATGGCTATTAGGGCCCCTCAGTAGTTCCAGCCCAGGGCCCCACAAATCCACGATCCGCCCATGCCTCGAACCATTGAAATTGAGTCCTAGAACGTGAAGATCCGATCATTAAATCAAAAGTTATTCAAGGTGGTCCAGTTTTGTTATTTTTTATTTTGCGCACTGTACATTGGACACTTAAAAAAATTTATCTTGCAAATTTGCCCAGTTGGAACTTTAAATTTTATGAGATAAATATTTTTTACTCTTGTTCATTTTTGAAATGGTGCTTCAAACTTTGCTTTGCAAAGTGCTTTCCTTTTATTCCCTTAAAAAAGCTGTGATTTTTTTTCCACGACTTCGAACCTGTAACATTTTCTTTCAAATTTCAGATTCCATAACTTATTTGGTTCGGACAATCCGGATTTCGCTGGTAATTTTATCTCTGAAAAATGCGAATTGCATCTAGGAGTTATAGAGTAAATTTGAAAATCTGATTGATACAAGGTATTATTAGCATTACAGTGCTTTGATCGCTCATTGATAATGTAAATGCGCATTCGTTCCAGCTCTCAGCATGATAGTGAGAATTAGACACATTCTTAAATCTGCGGTGGCCAAGTCCTGTGAAACTTTTATTCTCGAATTCTTAACTGTCACTGTAGTGTGGTTGCCTTAGTGATTGAGCGTTGTTTACAAACACACAATTGAACTGTCAAGATTTGTCATCTTTTGTCAATAGTTTATTAGTTTATTCTTAGTTATTTTGAAACGTCAACTATGCAGTGCTATATGAGTAAAAAAGTACGTACTATTTACATAAAATTTGGGAAAATTTCAAAGCAGCCGAGACATTTCTGCAATAACTTATTGTTTTGCAACACATTTATTACTTGTTTTTGTGGCGTTACTATTACTTTTATCTTTAAATTTATACATTATATATATATATAGGCCTACTTTTGTTATTGTTTTTTGTTAAATAAATATTGTTTTTGGGGAGTGTTTATAATCTTCAATTTTTTTTAGAGATTTACATTGCTATACGTATTTCTTTATAATACCACTCTTGCTATTGATAACTTTATACTTTAACTAAACAAGAGCAGGAGGTTTGCTTATTTGTTAATTATGATTATTATAAAATAACATCCTAAAAGAGTTCATTCCCTGTCCTGAAGTAAAATCGCCTTTAAAGCTCTGTTTAAACTGAGTTGAGTTTGTCTAACTCTGCATTAATATTATTACTCTGTAAAATTAGTTTTTAAGTTTAACACAGCTGAAAAAATATCTATGCATTAATTATTATCCAACTCATAGATTTGTTCCTATTTAATCATGATTTATTGAGAAATTAACTTAATTATCTAATTTGTATATATTTTAGGCATGCTAATTAATGCTTGATCTCATTGTACATTTTTTTTAAACTGAATCACTAAAATATCTTTCAAAGTAGAATTGAAGAAAAAATAATAATATTTTTTTTTTTAAAAATTATCTTTTTTTTTTTTGAAAAAGAAATAGAAATTTTTATATGTATTACAAATACTATACATTGTATTTATCATTTAATCGCTGGAAGTAAAACATCTGAAATTCACAATGAATGAAGAGTGAAACACTGCTAAATTAGTAATTCATAAATTGTCCTTTTACTTCCCAAGTTCATGAAATAGAAAAAATTTAAAGATAAATAAAGTCAATGTTCATGTTTACTAATTAATATTTTCAAATAAATTAGAAAATGTTGGCTGTTTTGTATTTTTATTAATTAGTTATCTTGACTTATTAAATTATTAGAATTAAGAGATAACTATAAATATTAATTAAAAAGTATTACACATTTTCCTATCTGAGGACTTACCGTACGTGTGCCAGGTCTACTTTGATTTCATCAAAATAGGGGTAAAATAAATTGAAAAAATATTTGGTTGTTTAATTTACAATAAGCCACAACTATGTGTCTTAGAACTTGAGGTAGTACACATCTCTGTGTATTACCTTCTCTGAAAGTAGATTCCTTCTGGAGTGGTAAATTCCTGTTTTCAAAAACAAACTGTAAGAATATAAATACAATGGTTTAATTAAGGGAATTATTTTTATTTTTTTGAACTGCCATCAAATTAAATAATGTTGTGCATTTAAGGATTACTTTATGTATGATTGAGACTTAGTTCAAGTCTAAGTTTTGATGTCTATTAAAATTTATAATCTGTCTTAGTATAATGTTTACGTAGGATTGCATAGACTTTTTCAGAAGAGAGTCTCAGAAAAGTTTTAATAATATCAAGTGCTTATTATTATTTAAAAAAATTAATCTACCTTTCAGGTGCTTCAGGTATGAACAAATGCTTTTAAAACATTTAAGCAGAATCAATTAGAGGGTTAAAATTTCTCTATCTCGATAAATATTTTTCAAATGCAGTCCATGATTCCTAATAGTGAACATGCTAATTTACTCTTTATTAAGACAGATACATTAATAACTGAAATGTGAAGAAAGAAACGATCTTGTGACTTTAAACAAATACTTTAAAATTAAAATAAAAAATAATATGGAATTAATTAGTTTTAAAAATTTTTCCTCTTCATAAATATTTTTCAATTGCTGTTTTAATTTATAACTTATTAATTTTTCTAATAACAGACATATTTGTTTAATCTGGTCAATATACCTAAAATAACATTGACAATGTATGCATGTGGAATGTGTACCAGTGATTTTCCCTGTTGAATTAAGTTTTTGAACTAAGTATGTTGGCAAAAGAATTAATATCTGCTTTTGTAAAAAGGTTACAAATGTTGAAGTTAAAAGTTTTTGAAAAGAGTTTTCATTTTATGTTACTTATGACTCTAAAAATATTGTGTACGATTGTAATTAGTTAGATTTATATGCTACTATTTTAGATAGCCTTGCCAAAGAGCATTAACATGAAATCCATTGCCTGGAATAAAACCCATGGATACATAGCTTGTGGAGGTGAAGGTGGCATTCTGAAAGTTTTAAAATTAGAATCCAGTAAGTATTATGCTACAAATTGAAATTATTTTTTTTTAATAAACTAACTCATTATGTTATATGATTAAGATTCTTTTAAATAATATTATCTTGGACTTCTTTGTATTATATGTAATATGTTTGGCTGCATTAATGATGTTCTATACTTAAATAAAATATATTTTTTGATTAAATATTTTCAAAATAAATATGCATACATTTAAAGGACAAAATTTGCTGTACCATTTTTTATGGAAAGATTTTCTCAGGTTATATTTTTTAAAACTTACATTAATTTGTGTGAAGTCTCTTAGAAATTATTCGAAATAAGATTTTTTGCATTAATTCTTTAAACCTTTTTTTTCCCCAGAAATTTTTACTATTGAACGTGGGGGCTTTCTTATAACCTTCTCCTTGCTAGTTAGCATTAGGCCTTGTTCTTTCAGTAGAAAAGGAGCTGAGCCAGACTACAATTAAGTTTGGTGCCTGACCTTTGCATAGATTTTATACCCTGTTCTTGAGTCAAAATTTATGATTTTGTAGATGATATCTTATGTTTGAAAAACTTAGTAGATGAACCACTAACATAGGTTTTAGAACAAATTTTTGTTGTGTATATGTTAGAACATTAATTTAAGTCAATTTTTTTTAAATCAGTTTTCATAAAAGAAAGTTTATTTGAGGCCACCTTCTTGAGGTTACTATTCATTCTAATATGAGTATTTTCAAATAGGCAAAAATACCACTTAAATGTTCTTTCACCTAGTTCTTCTAATGTTTTTTTTTTGTCTTAAATGTCAGTAAAAAGTATAATTTAATGAGTTTAGCATATGTATTTCTCATTACAATGCAAGAAGTTCACTATTACACTATGTCTCCATCAAAATACCATTGTTAAAGATACAAAATTCTATGTTTATAACTAGTTAAAAATTTAGAACCTTCCACTTGCAGTAATTTTTAGGGGGGGTAATACGTTTTTCTATTATTTTAATGAGCAATATTATATTAAAAAGAACAAAACAGTATATATTGTTATTTGTTTTTATATCCATGCAGGGAAGGGAAAAACAAACACCTTATCTCTTTCTTAAATTCTTAACCCTTTAATTTTATAAAGCAAGTATGTGGTTGACCAACAGTCAAGAGCTATCTTCTTCCTCACTGGAGAAAAATTCTTCAACTGATTTGAAGAATCTTGTCTTACACTTCAAAAGAATATATTTTTTGTTCACCACATATCTACCATACATCTTACTCCCTTGTTTAAAAACTTACTAATTGACTAATTGAAATCAATATTCAGTGTAATCAATGGCATAAAAATCTGTTGCACTTTCTTGTTTTGTTTTTTTTTCTTTGTTTGCATTTTTTAAAAACTTCCTGCTAAGCCAACAATCTGAAGGCAAGGGCATTCTTCTATAGATACATGTTTTAAATCCAAATGAAAGAACGTAAATGTTTTGGTTTAATCTTTTATGCTTTTTAATGTTATTTTTACATTACATGTGTGTATTTGTTTATAACGACAAGCAACAATTACATTGTTATTGTGAATTGTCATTATGATGGACTTTTACTGTACTTTTAAAGATTGAAATAGTTTTTTATTTAGTGAAACTTAAGACCTTTTGAAAACAAGAGATTTTTTCTTTAAATTTTTGTTTCAAACTATTATTAAAAAATTCAAATGACTTTTTTTTTAATTTTGTTTAATTGTTGTCTAAATAAATAATGAAAGAAGAAACTCATAGAGGTAATTTTCTTGAGGTTCCTATTTAAAACTCTTCCCCTAGATTTTTTTGTTAGGCTACATTTAAAAAAAAGATTTGTTTGGTTTTGTTTTTTACAAGAGTGACTGTGATTTCTGTATTTTGCTTAAATTTTAATATTTAGTCTATGTTCTCTAATTTAGTTGTATAATTTTATTTACTTATTTTAGGAAAAGAAATTACTGCCAGTGTAGTTAGTTCATCTAGTCTTTCAACCAATCAAAGTTTAGAAGGACATACTGGTATTTGTTTTTTATTTTCATTTTTACTAAGATGAAATTTAAAGAGTGATGTTAGTTTATTATTTCTTATTTTTATTGCATTCTTCATTATGTCATACAATTATATAAATTCCAGTAGAGCATACTTAACTTTGGCTACTCAATTAATATTTTTAATAATTTAAAATGTCGCATGCATGAATTGAAATAATTTATATTTATTTATGGACCGTCATTAGAAAAACTAGAACCAAGTGGTTACATCTTTTAAGACATATGTGATTTTTTTTATTCACAGTATGTCTTGCGTTTCTCTATTTTAAAAAAAAAATTGACTCGTTAAACTTATCTCAACGTCTAGTTACACTTCTGATTATAAGAAAACTCTTGATGGAATGGAGTCTCTTTCATAGTTGCTGGAAGCTGTTTTATTTTGCATAAGATTGTGGTCCAAATCTCTATGGAAAAAAATGAATAGATATTTAATTTTATGTTTTTCGGAATAGTCTATTTGGATATGAAGAAGTATATTGATGCTTATCTAAAGCCTAAATAAACACCAAAGGCCTTTGTTGTTTCATTTAAAACTTTAAAGCACATTAATCATTGTTTATTAATAAGAAATAATAATTTCTAAAATTCAGCAAAACGTCTGTAAAATTAGAATTTGAAACCTTTTTAAATAATAATATTAAATATTCAAAAAATTTAGTTTTAAACTATTATTTTAACATTACAGTTTATTGTTTTAGAGGATGTAAATGTCCAAATTTTTCTGCTGTTGTGTTTTACCAAATGAATCCTGTATTTAAATACCTAGACTTCAAACTATAATGTACTGAAAACAGGATATCTTAATTACAATTTAAAGTAAAAAAAATCAAATTTTAGTTCATCATTCAGAATAATTAAAACCTCTGAGAATTAGTGCCTGCTTTTTTGGAATTTTCAGCTTGTTTTTTTTTTTTTGTTTGTTTTTTTGTGTTTTTCTATCAATGAAATATTGGTTTTTCCCCCCAAGTTATTCAGTGGAAAGTGGTGTGAAAAAGATAAAATTTCAGTAGAACTTCACTTGACTCAACACTTAGACAGTTAAAAAATATCACTTTCAAAAATAAATCTGTCTCTATTGTATTGAAAAAGCTAATACTTGATAAAATGTTTCAAAATTAAAAAGGATGTACAAAAGTTATCCTAGAAAGTGTTCCATTTAATGTAAAAATAATTTATAATTTAGTTTTATTCTCTTATGTAGTAAATAAAAGTTTTATATTAATAAATAGTGGGTATTAATTTTGTTTTTCTATTTGTTAATAGTTTAAAAAATGCACTTAATGATCAAAATAAATAATCTACAACCACTCTAAAATATTCATTTTAAATTTTATTATGATAGATATCTTTGACTTAATTTTTGTTACTTAAAACTTTTTTTTTACATTAGTTACTTATGTACATACACTTCTGGGTACTAACATTCAAAATGTAATCACATAATGTATTAAGTTAGAAAAACTTTAAACAAAATACAAATTTTTACTTTTTGATATTCCGAGCCTCATATTGATTCAACAAAATTAGTTTAGCTCTAGAATACTGAAAGAAAACACAAATAATTAAGATCATTGAGTGNTATTTTTGTTTTATTTCATTTGTTTTGTATTTAGCTCTAGAAGTAGTTATTATTTCATTAAATCTACCATCCAAAATATTTTTTGCTACCATTTAAAATTTATTGCTAAAAAGGTGTATTGAAAATTAATTCATTTCATGGGTGTTTTTTCCCTGGATTAATAAAATAACTTTTTATTGATCTGTTATAAGGAAATTTTGTTTTGAATGAATACCTCTGAAAAAAACAATTAAAACTAAATTAATTGAATTAATTAGATTAGTAGTTATACTACTAATCTTGTGTTAAATGTATGCAATTAAGAACATAAATTCAGGAATACATCAGCTCGTCCTTAGTTTGTGGTTTTTCTTACTTTTTATGTACAGGACTCCAAAAAAATGGGCCAGTCTGAATAACTTTTAATCTAATGATCAGATCTTTATGCTCTAGAACTTAATCTTAATGATTTGAGGTGGTGGACTCAAATATACTAATTAATAAGTTCATACGATATTTTAAGTTGCAAAATCAGACACAAAAATGTACTTTCTCTGAATGAACATAGCTTTTTTGCAACGGATTTAGATTTCTGACCCCCGAAATATGGGAGGTAGCTGCAATTTGGGAAATATAGTCTCCATAGTTTTGTCAGGACAGCGATCTAAATTTTGGACCCCTTAATATTAATTTTACATTTTTGCCGTAGCTCTCAAACTTTTGATGCGAATTGAGAAATTTTTACACACAACTATGAAATTTGTTTGTATAAAGATAATTTCATGCAAAAGATAAATTTTAGTAAATATTTATTATGTTTTGTTATTTTATTTAATAATAGTCGAACAAATTTTGCATTGTAAGGTATATAATTTTTTACTTATTAATGTATCTAATTTTGCATGGCAAAACACAAAATTTGAGCAAAATCGGTTGAATTGTTCCTAAGAAATTGAATTTTAGAAAAGCTGTATGTTTCAAATTTGATTTCTCAGGAACTATTCAACTTGTTTCACTCATATTTTGTATTTTGCCATGTACAATTATATACTTTAAAATGATACAAAAAAATTTATTCCAAGATCATAACCAAGATCTTTCCAGTGATTGATAATTTGTCATTTTCTTAATGAAATACCTATTTGAAAATGTTCGGTTTTGTTCTTTGTATTTCTTTATTGAAGCTGAATATATATTTTTCGGATTTTTATTTTGAAAGTCAGTCATTTAATGTGAGAGTATATCATTAATAAAATCCTTATCTAGCAATTCTGGCCACAAGCCCACATCAACATATTTCTCAAACTCAAACTTAATATTCTCTAAATTTCTTTCCGCCTCGGTATTACAGTCCTCTTGCTACCAATATAGTTTTCAGTGGGATCAGAGGGTTTCTGGTAGTCATGACAGTTATTAGTAAACTAAACAAGTTTGTCACTTTGACGACGAGAACAGAAGCTCGAAAAAAAAGCAAAATTACGTCGGGCGTTAAGCGGCGCTGTGGGAAGTCCCCCGTAATAGACGCGAAAAAATACACTGACCAAAAACAAGCGACGAATAATTCCCTGTTCCGTTCGATAGACGCGCACATGCATGGGTTAATTGATCTCAGGGTTGCCAACCTTATATATTTTTTTCTAATATTCGATATTTTTTTCAATTCAAAATATCACTTATTGTTTTCAGTGGGAACTGGGGCCCTTTGTACCCACGGGGCCCTGGGCTGCAGCCCAAAAAGCCCTTAAGTAGATCCGCCCCTGGTTCAAGGGGGTGAACTCAAATATGGTATTTAATAAGAGCAGGGGTTATTTTAAGTTACGAAATCAGACACAAAAACGTACTTTCTCTGAATCAACAGACCTTTACTTCGACGGATTCGGATTTCTGACCCAAAATTAAAATGGGGCTTAGCCGCAATTTAGAAAAAATGGTCCCTTCAATAGGTTAGTTTGGAGAGCGGTTCAAAGTTTGCACCTCTTAATGTTAATTTTACTTTTTGTGTATTTTGCTTTGTCTCGAGAACTTTTTAAGCGAACTGAAAATTTTTTACACGCAATTATATAATTAATTTATCCAAAAATAGTTCCAAGCAAAAAATAACTTTTAGTTAAATTTAGCAATCTTTATTATTTTATTCAATGTTACTTGAAAAAAATTCGGAAATTTTTTTGACTATTATTAAATGAAATAAGAAAAAATAATAAATATTTACTAAAATTTATTTTTTGCATGGAATTATCTTTGGACAAATGAGTTTTATAATTGTCTGCAAAAGTTTTTTAACTTGCTTAAAAATTTCTCTAGGTAGGACGAAATACACAAAAAGTAAAATTAACACTAAGGGGTCCCAATTTTGAATCACTCTCTTGGCCAAACTAGGGTGATCATATTTCCCAGATTGCACCTACCTATACTTTGGGGGTCAGAAATCTGATTCTGTTGGGAAAAAAGATATGTTTATTCAAAGAAAGTACGTTTATGTTTTTGTGTCTGATGTCGTAACTTAAAATATTGTCTACACTTATTAATTAGCATATTTGAGGTCATTCCCATAAACCATTAAGATTGAGCCCTAGAACATGAAGATCTGATCATTACATCAAAAGTTTTTCAACATGTTTTTTATTCGTCATAAATCAAAAGAAACGAAAGTTGGGGTGACTGTTTACTGAAATTGAAAGACTCTGCTTATAGTTATCACTATAAAAAAAATTATGTGGTAAAACAATTTAATAAATAGAATTCTTTAGCGTTTACTCAATGCCATGTATAGACAACCTCTAGATGACCTGCCAGTTGTGCACCCTCTTTAGCTTTTTATTCAGTGTGGGGGAACATTTAAACATTGAATATTCTCGATTTTCGTGAACAACAAACTGAAAGTTCCATTACTTTGGCTGGATTTTTAATTACATGAACAACCCATAACTTTCCAATATTCCCTCATATCAGCTCTATACAATGTTTTTTACTAATGCAAGTAATCAAGAATAATTTAGTTAAATATGATAATAAGGCTTGTTATCAGCTGTAAGCTATTTATTTATTATTGTAAGCAGTTTTGTTGAAAATTATTGTTGAATACTACTAATTTTTTTTATTTTCTTCATAGGTACAGTGTCATTTGTTCAGTGGAATGAACCATATCAAAAATTGACTTCATGTGACACTAATGGATTTATTATGGTTTGGATGGAACACAAAGGTATATAAATAAAAAAATTTAAAAATAATTCTTATGGTTTATGTAAATGAACCTTTTTTTTTTCATGCCTGAATTCAAATTTAAATCAAGGTTTTTATGGAGAAAAAAACTTAAAAATACTCAATTAAATACATATAATTGAAATAAGACACAGTTTTCAATTCTGACTGCTATTTTTATAAGTAATAGACTCATAATTTTTAATTATTATGTTTTGAAATATTGATTGTTACTGCTATTACTGATTATTCGTAAAGTGCTTTTGATTAACTTTTCTTTGTAACTGGAATGTCTAGTATTTTTTGTTCTCTTATGGAACAGTGATATTGTTAACAATCTTATTTGATCTTATGCATATATTCAAGTAGGCATAGTTTCTTAAATACAAAAAAGCAGTGATATTGCTATGTTCAAATTCTGCTTGCATTTATTCATCAGATATTTTTCCTTTTAAGTAAAAATTAGAACTTTAATATATATTATCAGATAAACTAAAAGTTTTAAGAATTTTTTTCAAGGTTTTTGACTTTTCTAGATTGATACACATTTATTTTGATTTTATTAATGCACAAAATAATATTTTGAAAATAGTTAAAGTTTTTGTCATAAATCGAATATCTTCTATAAAAAAAGGCCTTTCAACTTATTATGACTTGAAAATGTACAGTTTTCTTCTTAGATTGTCTTAGAAACTAATCATTCTTAGAAAACTGTGAAATATAACTTCGTGCCACAGTATAAAAATTATTCATGTCTTTTTTATTGGAAAGTTGGAAGATTTTTGTTTTAAGTCCATAGTTATATCTCTATTTTAATTTTTTTTTGTTTACTTATTTAGGACTTTGTACCTTTAATTTTGTAACTTTTGCTTAGAATTTTAAAAATATTCATATTTATAAAAAAATTTCAAATCAATTGCAGTTTAAAGCATTAGTTTTGATCGTTTAGGTATTTGGTATGAAGAAATGGTTAATAATCGGCAAAAGTCTTTAGTTAAAGGAATGTCTTGGAACCATGATGGTATGAAAATCTGCATTACGTATGATGATGGTATGTTATGACTATATTTTCATTATCTATATCAAGAAAGAACTGTATTTTTAAGAGCCAGTTTTTTTTAAAAAAAATTGAGCAAATCAAGCATGTTTGAATCCTTGAAATTTTTAATTTTCTTGAAATTTTCAAGATATTTTCTTTAATGTTAAACTATTTGCCACGTGTTTTTTTATTATTTTTTTGTAAAAAATAATTTTTTCTGGAAGCTTTAGGGATCAAAACTGAAGATACACTCTAATTTTTTTTTTTTTAAAAAAAACATTGATTTTCAAGTTGCTATACTTTTCGTGAAAGGAGTGAATCATGACACTAACCATTATTTTATGTTCTACTACATTTCACTAACATTAAGACTTAAAAACTTTCAGTGCACCTTTGCATTAATGGTCAAAGATCATTTAAAAATCTTCAAAAAGAATCTATTTTCTTAGACTTTGACCATCAAAATTTACTAGCACAAACAGTGAAGCATAACGGTACATATTTCGGTAAATAGATACCAATGTATTTACTTAAAGTAGCAATGAAACTGAAAGTATGCACAACTCAAAATCATTAACTGCTTCCATCAAAACTAGACAAGTATGAAATTTGCTAGAAAAGAAGCTTTAAGTATAACAGGAGCAAAATCAGTTCACAAACTTATGATATGGTTTTTATAATATGGTGCTAAAATCTCTGGCCCATACTGTAATAAGTATAACAGAAATTATAAATATCATTGAAAATATTTTCTTTCAAAATAACTTTTTTTTAGAAATATTTATTTCTTATTGTCTATATTGAATTGGTTGTGCTTTACAAAATTATGTATGAAAGATACACAATTAAAGTTCATCTTATCAGTTGTTAGCTTAGCTATTTCTTAAAAGTTTTTGAAGTTAGAAAATATTTTGAAGAGTCTTTACTAAGAATGTTTCTTGATGAAGGAAGTAAAAAACAATTAGCCGAAAACTATATCCTGCATTATCAAATTTTCCCCCACCTGAAGCATTGTAGATATTTCAGGCTTTGAAAACACAGCGGAGCAAGGATTAAAATATATTTTGAAAACTGATAAGGAAATTCACAAAAAGATAAGATGTTTGATGTTTTGCTCTAAAAGGAGAAAAAATTCTATTCCTATGAATGTTTTTAAAGATATGATACTCATGCTCAAAGAGGGCAAGGAAGTACAAGCAATAAATATTCATTACATTGTATTATCTTTCAAAAAAAAAAGTATTTCGACCTTTGTAATTTTCTTTTTCATCATTTCCTAATGGATAGTATAGACAGCTATGAATAGGTGAACTTCATTCATTAACATTCTGTAGATTAGTTGCATAAAAAAATATCCTTTTTATATTGAATTTATTAGCATCAAACTCTTCATTTATTATCATTTTTTTAATATTTTAGCTTGCCAGCTTTACAAAATTTGGTCTAATCCTAAATTTTTATGTTACATATTTTCAGTTGTATAATTATAAAGATATCTTACTATTAAGGTTTTTCATTTAGAAAATGCTATTTCTTATATTATGTATGGTATTAAGTAATTAAAAATAATGTATAACATATCTCGTTTGAGGTACGAAAGGCACAATTATTGCAATTTAGTCGATGAAAACTATCCAGTCTGTATTAATTTTTCTCATTTCTCTTTATATGAATTATTAGATTTCTGTTTCTTTATTCATAAGAAATTTCAATGATTTCGAAGAATGTTTCATAATCTCTAAATTTCTGAAATATGCTCTAAACAATTTAATTTTGATGATGAAAGTTATTTGAATTTTTATGGATGTTGTTTTACATAAAAAAGGGAACTATTTAATTTATTTTTATCTATTTATTTGCAGGAGTTGTTATTGTTGGATCAGTTGATGGAAACAGAATATGGGGAAAAGAATTAAAAGGACTCAATCTAACTTGTGTTGAGGTGTGTAATTCGTGACTTTGCATCCAAATTTATTTAACTGATATTTTTTATGGTATTAATTATTTAGATTATATCTTGGTTAAATGCACAATTTAAAAATAGTCATTACTTAAAATTTAATTTATGAATGAAAATGAAATTAAGAAAACAACAATTCTAGAGTGTTCTTTATTGCATACTAATCAGTAAAAGAAATTTTATCTTTGACTTCTTCATCTGTGCCTTTTTTTGTGATCCATAGCATATAAACCTTTTTACCATATCCTAGAAGGAGGTTTTATTCTAACTTATTTTACTGAAACTTCATATTTATTTAAATATTTCCATGTTCAAACATTTCAAGTATTTTTCATGTAGTGGTCTCCTGACGGTCGCCTTCTACTACTTGGTTGTAATAATGGTGAAGTTCACATCTATGAGTTTGGAGGAGCTTTTGTGGTAAGTTTAAGCCAAGTATAAAAACGTGTATGTTATTAATAGTAACATTGATGTTTTGAATTTTATTGAAGAAATGAGGTTTTTAATATTAATCGCCCGGTGGCTGAGTGGTAGCGCTTCACGCTCCTGTGCCACAGGTTCTGGGTTCGATCCTCGGGCTGGGCAAGGTTGACTCAACCTTTCATTCCTTCAGTGGGTCGATGAATGAGTTCAAAGCTGGCTTGGGAACTAAAACACAGGGGATTTCGCGTTCGGCTGACCACCTAACCGGAACAGCTGCTTCTGAACCCCAGAGCCCTAGGTCAAGAAAACTGAGGCACAGTAGGCCTTGGCCCTCTTTGGGCTGTCGCGCCACTGAGTTTAGTTTTTAATATTAATACATTTGACTTTGAAAGTCTATATACCAGTATACATCATGCTCAAATACTTGATATTTGTAGCTGCATTTATGATAAATATTTAATTAATGAAAATGTTGATAAATTATATTGGATAGATATTTGTAAATTTAATCTTTTTTGACAATGTACTTTTTAATGGCCTTGATTTTTAACAAAAAATAAGGATTCTGCATTGTAATTCTTTTTCTAGCGCTTTGGCTAATATTTTTTTACATTTTTTTGAAGCTAAGTGTCTTGATTTTAATGCTTTTAGATATATTGATCATTTAATTGTGTTAATTATGATTTTATTTTTAATATTTGTCGTAAAGATTTGGTTTTGAAGAGGACTAATGAATATTTAGATTTCAAAATTGATACTGATAATTATCAAATTAAAATTGGTGTTTATGATAAAAAGAAGGCTTTTAAGTTTAAGGTTATTTTTTTCCGAAATTTTGATGCCAATTTGTGCAGTAAAATATTAAAAAATTTGGTTTTTTCTCAATTGTCTAGAATTAATAAAATTAGCAATAATGTTGAAAATTTTCAAGAGGCAGCATGTAATTTTTTTAAAAATTTGGATCGTAATGGTTTTCCTGCATTATTCAATTTAAAATTAGAGAAATGATTAAAAATTATTAGTTTTCTTTTAATAGGGCAAGATCGAGTCTTAATTGATTTGGCCCAGTTAAACATTTCTACTAATGATGGCAACTGTTTTCTTGCTCTTTTTCTTTTTTTCTCCCTTCTGTGCATTAGATTAGCGGGCATTGTCTTTTCATTAATTCAGTTTAGTTGAGGTTTTGTAGTATGTTGTGTTCTTTGGTTTTGGGATTTATTATTTTTAAGTAAGTTTTTGAACATTGTTTCCTTTTGTATTAATTTAGGTATTATACTTTTGTATTTGTCTTTGTGTTTTGTATTCTTTATTTTCTCTTCCTGGACTTTTGGCAAATCCATTTGGGTACAGAGAGAGCAACTTAGATATTTGTCATACTCTCTTGATAGAAAAGGTTTTGTGTTTTAATGACTTACAGAGCTGGTACCCCCTGATGACGTCAGCTTCGGTTGTCATTTATATCTTTTTCGTTGTTTAATTCTTTATATTTTCTATATAATGATAAAGCATTGCAAAACAAGATCTGAAATTTTTAAAAAAAAATCTGTGAAACATAGTGTTTCATAGTGCAACTAAAAAGAAATCACAACATTTGTAGAACCACTAATTTTAAATTTTACTATATAATTTGTTTCTAGATACTTAAAGATTTTATGTACTTTATTAATTTTTTTTATTTATTTGTTTTTGCACTGGCTATCTTTGTTTGAAAAATATTTTGTTTTTATTGTTTTCCAATAAATTGTAAAATACTTTCTGAATCCTTTTTATATTTCTCTTTCATATTTTGAGTAATTTTTTTTATACTATCTACTTTATGGTTAAAAATGCTAACATAATTTAATCTAAATTTACATTCAACATTTTATTATATATTATTTAGTTTTAACTCAATATACTCATTGCATGGTTGGTCCCTTATAAAAAAAAAATATCTATAGCGAAATGAAAAATATTAGTGCTTAAATGTTTTAATTTTTAATTCTCAAAAAATATGTTTAAATGATGCAAAAATGCTTGATCATTTATTATTTTATTCTTAGGGTAAAATTCCAATCTCAACATTAGCTGATAATAAAAAGAAAGATGATTTGATGATGATAAGCTGGTTTAAGAAACAAAAAGATCCAGACATTCCATCATTAGCAGTAGTCTTCGAAAGTGGCCATATTCAGTTGATGAAAAATGAAAATGATAGCGGTAAACAATGATTTGATTTTAAAGTATAGGAATTTTTAACGTAAGATTAATCATCACCAAATAGTATGTTTGTATTAGAAATTTCTGTCTTTAATATGACATGTAAGTACTTCTGTTGTTGCAAACTGACTAAAAATGGATTTTCTATAATGCTGGTCAGTTTAGTTTCAAGTTTGTAACATATAATACAACTGTCTTCCAATATTTCTAACAACATTGAATTTGATTAGTGTTAATCATAGTTTGTTATTATGTCTAAGCTAGAGGTGCACAACCTGTTAAAAATTAGGAAATATGTAATTTACGCATTTAAGTTTTAGGCGCACCCAATCTCAATCAATGTCGTTTTTCTATGGCTTACGCTACGGACTTATGCATAGTTTTGAAAATCCGACTAATTTTTATATGTCATTATTACGATACATGACTTTCAAATTTTAGTTATCGCTTTTAAAATTCTCCATGTGTACCGATTTCATCGTAAATCCAATGACTTTTTGGTAGTTATTGCTACCCATTTTCACGTAGTCACTTAAAAGTACTCATCTCATTTCATATTAACGAGATTTAAAAATCATCCTTTGCGATTCGTATTCACGAGATTTGAAATCACATATCGCGATTCCCGTTCTGGAATTAAAAAATCATACGTTGTTACTCTTCTTGCAATTCAAAAATCATACACTGCTATTCATATTCACAGGATTTAAAAACCATATATTGTCATTGATATTCACACGTTTTAAAAATCATACGTTGTTAGTCTTCTCGCAATTTGAAAACTACACAATCTTGATTCGTATTAACACGATTTAAAAATCAAAAATGGAAGAACACCGTCTGGAACAGATTCAAAAACTGATTAAGTTATTTGCCTTAAGTTCAACACTACCCACAATGACAGCTTCTGTGGAAAGACTGTTTTCCTGAATGAACTTGGCATGTTCAAAACTACAGAGCAGTCTGTAGTTTTGAACTGTCTGTACTTTCAACAAAATCATTACATTTTCATTTAATGACTCAAAAAAGCTATCATCACATGATTAAATAGATAAAATTATCACAATATTCGAAAATTGCAGGATAACCATTAAGAAATTTTTTAAACCATTTTCTACCTACTTGGACAATTTTATATGATTTTTGATTATATGCTGAGAAATTATTTGTATATCGTTAAATTTTAACTGTAAAAAATTTTATCGAGATAAGTTTTATAAAGTAATGTAAATTTTAATTAATTGTTAATATATATGTGTATTAATTGTAAATAGTAAGTGTCATGTTAAAAAAGTATTGGTCCATAAAGAGTTGTAAACAAGTATCTTAATAGTTTTTTATTGTTAAGTGAAATAATTCCTTCAAAATTAATGTTTTCTTTCTTTCTTTTTCTTCTCTCTCTCTCAGCCCCTTCCTCTTATAATTAATTTAAAATATAGAAAAATGCTTTAAAGTTGAAGTACAATCCCTACTAAATGTTGAATCTTATTTTCCGCTGAAGGGGTTTTGTTTTAATTTAATCATTTTTAACGCTATAAACTTTCATTAAATCAAAATATTTAACTTACATTTATTTTAATAACTAGAATATTTATTTTTTTAGAAATTTAATTCTATGAACAAATTTTTTGACGATGTTTAAAGGGACTATGTAATATGATAAAAGAAAACATGAATTTTCCCATTGTGTTAAATTATTTCAATTTATCTGAACCTTTTCTGATAAATTGATTCTGACTTTCTGATTTTGTTTTTTTCCTAAGTAATCAGTTTTGCAGTTTCTAATTTTAAACATTTAAAAGTATTTAATTTTATGCATGCATATTACAAGGTTAACTGACAAAAAGAATTTAGTGCCTAGAACAATGATGTTTATATAACAATTCTGTCAAAATACTTTGGCATGTGGCCCTTCATTAGTCAATCATGTCTGCTTCACTCAAAAAGGTTGTGCACCTCTAATCCAAGCTGATATTTAAAGTAGGAAATTTATTTTAAAAAATTATTTTCTTCTAAGGATTCTTAATTTCTTTTTTATCTAGTTTTCAAAATTATTTTCTTAAAGTCTTTTGTGTCAGTTTTTAATTATTTTTTAACAGGTGCTTGTGTAATTGATACTGGTTTAATAATTACATCTTTGGAATGGAATTTCAGCGGTAGTATTATAGCTGTAGCGGGTAAGAGAGAAAAAATATCTTCCCCAGATGAAAAATCTCATGAAGTTAAATTCATAAACCCATTTGGTGAGGTACAGTTACATTTATTTTATATGTTTATTTGTTTTGTTAAAGCAGTGAATGTGATCAAACATATGGTTTGGTTTGGTTTGGGAAGAGAATTTAAGAAATTTATCAATTTAAAGAATTGTCTAAAAATATTGAGCCTTTCGTGCACGACATAGTTTTCTTGTTATAAATCTCAGTCTTGATGATTCACAATGGAGAAAGTTCAACACTGTTTGACAGCTGTCCTTTGTGGCTTGTAGATGTGTAAAAAAGGCTGCTTTTCTTAAAATCAGACAATTTATTATCTCACAGCATTTATCTTTATTGACGCATCAAAAGAGAGAGAACTTCTCTGGATGGTATTAGTATCTCCTTGTTGTAGACCAGATCTGTTACCTTTAGCCTACTATTTATTTTAATCTCTTCAAAATTGCTGAGCAGAATTTAGTTTATTTGAAAAGAGACTGATGACACCTTGCATCATAATTATATTGCTATTAAACACAACAGTTCTATAGAAGTGAGATTATAGCATTGGCAGAATAATGTCAGTTATTACTTTAAAATTATTATAAACCTATTGTTGAACAATTCCAGAGGCTCTATACATTTTAGACAATACAATATTACATTTATGAGTCAAAGAATTTCATTTTGTGAAACATATAAAATCTGAGTCCAAACAGCTTTCACTCTTACAAAAGAACCTCACAAACTGTCACTTTCCAAAGTTTGGGATTTTCAGTATTATTAAATTTTTGTCCATATTAATGAATAGGTAAACAATTATCTTCACTAGGAATTCTATTAAGTTATAACAACTGAAATATTTTATATTTTGTAAAAATAGACAATGTGTGAAGGACAAAGTTAGCAGATTTAATCAACAAAGGTGATGTAAAGAAATTCTCAAATAAATATCTTAAATGGCACAGTACTGTTTATAAATAGTGCAAAAATACAGTAGCAAACCAACCATAAATAGAAAACGAAAATTTTCCTTCTCATCCCCAACCTCAGTAGGGAACGAGAGGGGAGGTGTGTATGAATAAGAACATCTGCTACTGTGCCCCTAAATATGATGCTTTCCTTTATAGACCTGTTCCAAACCTTGGGGGACCAGTTTTGTTTACCTTTTGGCTATGAAGTTGGTTAACAGTTCAGTTTGCTACATCACGAAATGAAAAAATAACATGCAATGTCTATTTACTCTTTATATCTCTTAACGAACACATTTTTTGCAAAAAGAAGGATGGTCTCCTCGAGAAGTTTCTCTACACATTGAACATGCTTCACAATATACCAAAAAGCATTAAATTCAGCGAGTGACTATTTATGAGGTATATAAGTGTACTTTTCTGCAATTTCAAACTTAATTACCTGATGTTTTGTTGTTCTTAACAGGTTCTTCACATTCTTCGGTTTGGAGGTAATATTTGTGGACTCTCTTGGGAAGGCGATGGTCAGAGAATCGCTCTTGCTGTTGACTGCTACATATTTTTTGCTACAGTGAGACCATATTATAAGGTTAACACTACTTAATTCAGTTGTCCTTATTATAATGAATATTATTTATTTGTATATATGAATTATTTTAATTAAAACCTCATTATAGCTTTTAATTGTTTATGATTAATGCTTTTTAGTGGTGCTATTTTTCCAATACATTGGCCTATGCATTCAGTAAGTCATTAGATCGTAAAGAAACAACAATTATGTTTTGGAACTCCAACACAAAAGAAGTTAGTTTTCTAGATATATTCCTTTTACTCTTTTAAAGTTAAAACCTTTTTATTTACAAAATATTTTTATAACTTCACGTCTTTTCTTAGAAACATATTAAACTGGTGAAAAATCTCTTTGCATTAACATCCCATTCTGACTTCTGCTGTATTGCCACTCGAAGTGATGATTTATCAAAAGAAGTAAGTGCTCTATTTGTCATTAAGTTTATAATTTGTCAATATCTTTTTTTTTTTCAAAGTATTCATCAACTTAACAACATTGACTAAGTGATATAGTTTCATGCCTTCTTGAAACCTTAACATTCTCATCATCGGATGTTGACTCCATATGAAATATTGTGCTTAAGCTTGTTGCTAAATTTTTGTTTTCTTGACCTATATACTTAATTTATGCTTCTTTGATCTATATTCTAAATTTTGCTTCCTAAACTTTGTTTATTGGAAATAATATTTATAATATTTGCTTATTATTTCAGTATTCTCTGATTGTGTGCAATGCAATTGGCTCACCCATTGATTTGTGTAATGTTAGTTTAGAACCATCTTTTCTTTGCATGAATGGGTCTGACGTGTTTGCAGCTTCTCGCAATTGCTTCTGTAAATTTCACTTCCACTCACCAAAGAGCAAATCTCTGATGCAATTCTCCAGTGAAAAACCTGGATTATCTGAAGAAAGGTAAATTTCTTGTACCACTTGTTAATACCAGAAGAACAAAATTTATATGTTGGCCTAATTTTTACTATTGCACATATTTAAAACTTGTATTCTAAAATGTATTATATATTTCATTGCAATACAGAAATCATCAAACAGTTTTTACAAAAGAGTTTCTTATAAATATATTATAAGAAGTTTATGCTTTTTATTAAAATAAATTGTCTATTATAAATGTTTATATATCAGTATGTAATGCTAGATTATTTAAGACTTTATATTTTGGCTTAATAATTGTTTAAATTTACTTAAATTCAAAACTGTATAGTTGAATAAAATCATAATTTTTTTGTTTTGAAAATTTCTTTGTTAATGTTTTAATAAAGATTTTAAATGTTTATTAGTCTACTTTATTAATTTCAAAAGTGCAAAAAAGAAAAAATAACCATTTGAGTATTTAACTCTTAGTCTTTTTAATACCATATTTCTTATGTAATCTCTACAGTGCTTGTTCCACCACTAAATGTTTAAATCCTTTTAAAAAGTGCATTCCAATTTATCCTATGCATTCCAAAGCTCTAGTTATGTTTTTTTATTGTACTATTTGTTTCTTTATATTTGAAATCACTCTTGTTACGAAAAATTCTGAAGATATTTTCTCTTTTGGTGGTATTTAGCTATCTTAATCTTACTTTATTATTCCTATTAAATGTGATATTTATACACTACTCTTTTTTAATTAATCAGTAATTGTTTGTTTATGATAAAAATTTCCTTGATTGCCAATATCTGTGAAAGATTTGGAGGAAAAAATTAATAATTATTTTAGCAATGCTGCATCAACTATAACTTTTAATTAAGAAAGTTGTTAAATATTACTTGTTTATTATGTTTAGTAGCTAGATGCAGACAAACAAGGATAAGATGTAATTTATGTTAATGAGTTGATTATTTAATTACAGATGCACTGTTTACGACCTACCAAATATTGAGCAATACTCTGGTGATAATCTCAGAAATGTAAGATTATTTCTTTACTGTTTATTCACAGATACTTATCTTAAACTAGGTAATATTTTATAGCCTAAAAAATTTTAGTTCAAATTTAGTGTTTTTGTTCCCTATTAACTTTCAATTGTTTTTTCGCAACTTTTAGTTCACCATTATTTAATCTATATAATTTTTTCTACGAGATTTAAAAACCAATGATTGTATTAAAATACCTTTTTTTATATATATCATTGATTTTAAGAAATATTTTTTGTATTAGATTTTAAATATTGCAAAAATGACCAACCATAATTAAGTGAAGCTTCTTGCATTATTTTAAACACTATTTCAACATTTGTAGTAAGAGATTAAAAATACAAGATCATAAAGCAATTATTTGTTCTTGACATATCTTTTGTGTTTGTGCAAATGGTATTATGTTAGTACAAGATGGCTAAGTCAAATTTAAATTTCAAATTTAATAATTATTTGTTATTAACTACTTGCAACAACAAAATGTGCTATGCTCAATGAAAAATCATTTAAATAAAGTTTTCATTTAAATAAATTTTTTTAAATAATCTTTATATAAATTTATTCTTTTCTAAATCTTTCTGAACTTAAACAATTTGTGTAATTGAAAAAAGCAGATTTTATTTTAATGGAATGTAATAAAGACTCATATGATCAAAAACATGACTTACTTGTATTTTCAATCCACAAAATTATTTTAGCCGTAATAATTTCCATGCATTTTTGCATATTATATGTGCCTCAAAATTTTCTCTCACCAGCTTGCCATCGGTGATCAAATATTTAAGACTGGCGAGTAATTTTCATCTTTTAAAAAAATTGAGTTTTAAACTGACTATGAGCGCTTATATTATCATGCCTGATTGAAGCAATGTATGAAGTATGCTGTTACCTTTTTTATTTATTACGAAAAATGCTGTGTCACTCACTTTTCACTTATGAAACTGTTGCCTTTGAAAAATTTAAATCTTAAGACAAGCATAATTTGGTTTAATATAATTATTGTTATAAAAATGTTTAAATTTTTAAGTTAGTGTTCTTTTATGTGTTTGGTTACAATTAAGCTTTTCATAATACATCAGTTAATATTGTAAAAATTGTTGTCATTTTTTTAATTTGTTCCTCTAGATAATAAATTTTATAAGTCTAATGAGTCTTTATAATTTTATAAGTCCTCTAGATAAGTGACAAAAAAAAATAATTTTCTTCTACTGCTCATTTTAAAAGAGGGCGTTGTTTTCTTTTATTTCAAATGTTTCTTTTACATTGAGTTAGTTTCAAAAAATTTCTGTTTGACCAGTTTTCTGTGAGTTTTTGTATTTTCATTTTTGCATTATATTCTCAAGATTTTGTTTGAAATTTCTCTTCTGATTTGATTTTATGTGTGATGCCACAATTGGCATTACATATTTATTTTTCATTACTTAGCTTATTTTTTATTAATGAAATCATATTTAAAATGAATCAAAGACTTAATCTTTTGAAACGAACATAAAATATTTTATTCTTCTCTTATAGATCAATATAAAGGATACTTTTTATTTCATTACTAATGCAGACTTATTAATTCACTGTCGCCTCTAATCGAAAACAGAAATCTATTTATAACTTCTTATTCTAATTTCTAACCGCAGAAATTTTTCAGTTGCATGGTTGTAATAATTCTCATAAATTTGTTGGCGACTCGTGATCGCCAAGGTATTATTTTAAACCCAATATTGATATGCTGGTTGGCTTAGTTTTGGCTATGTTATAATTTATTAAATCGCCAATTTTGGATGTCCTACCCATGCTTCTGTGTCCGTTGGGAACAAAATACACGTACTTTTAAATATATTGTGGCTANTCGTGGGGGAATTGTCTCCCATGGCCTGTCCTTATTAATATTGGTATGCAAAACTTATTCAACTAAAATTCCTTTGAATTATATTTATATATTGTACCTCGAGCTCTGCAAATATATAAAATAAAAGCTTATTAATTCTGATCCAGTTCAAGTATTATTTTCATCATCTCCTGATTTCAGCATCAATCTTCAATTGGACCAGTATACAATATACTAACTTCCACCCTCACCTTAATATTCCACCATCTCAACATATATGGCATCCTGAATCCTCCTTCATATTATGCATTTCTTGTATTTTTCCTGGACTTTTGCAAAACCTTCGGGGAGCAAATTTTGACATTTGTCTGGCTCTCTCTCAATAGAAAAGGTTTTGTTCTATGGCTTCCGGAGCTGGTACCCCCTGAAGACGTCGGCTTCAGTGGCCATATTTTTATTTCCATTGTTTTCTTTATTGCTTCAATTATTCTTTCTTTTGAAAATTTCTGCTGCTTTGCGTGTTTTTTTTTCAAGGAAAGTTCTGTTATTATAAAATTAAATATTTTGTATTCTTTTACTTAATTTTTTAACAGTTTTCTTTTATTTTATCTGAATTATGCTTTTCTCTGTGCAAAAGAAAAAGGGTCACACTTGATCTTGATATCCTTTTACTCATGTTTTATGATCTTATCTTTTCTAGATTATTAGAGCCATCTGTTAGAAACACTGCTAACTAAAAAAAATGAAATATAGTACAAATTACTACAAACATGTTAATGCATGTTGGAATAAAGTAACAAACTGTTTGGAGTTTAAGACAAATCAGGAAGATAATTGATTCTAACTATATTGATGTTGCTTGTTTTGAATAAGACATTTTTTTTCTTATTTTTCATTTTATCTTTGTATACATATAGCTTAGCTTACTTATAAGAAAATGGGATTTTCACGAACCTGAAAAAATATGTTTTTTTTTTTTGTTTAATATTTGTGTCAGTATTTCAATTGCAAAACCTTTTGTCTGCTTTTTTGAAAAATTTTGTTTAATAATTCTATGTTAATCAATTCTATGCTATAAGCATTTTGTGGAAGTGTAAAATTAGCATATTTCACAAGTTATCTCAGCTCAGTATATGAGAATTGAAAATAAAAACTAGTTTTACATTTCAGATTATACTAGTTTAATTTCACCTAATCGTCAATATTTTAACAATTTTAGGTATCCCAAAAAATTCTTTAGCCATTTGTATAAATCTTGTTACAAAAAAGTTACGTAAGTAAAGATAGCTTATTTTTACAGACACAGTGCTTTTTCTTTACTTCTCTTATTATATTTTAGCATAACAAATTGTTTCCCCTTAATAAGGCTGGAAATATGTTATTGTTTTCTTATTTATTAAAATTTATTCGAAGTGCACTGTAAAATTTCTATTAAAGTTTAAAATTATGTTACTATTTAGTTTCATTTTTATGCTTGTTATCATTATTATTATGCTTATTATTATTATAAAAATTTTCATCTGTTTTGAGGGCTGCTATATATGTTTATATACTTAAAATTTATTTTTTTCAGAACCTCCTGAAACCAATTTGTTGTATCACTTGCAGTGATTCTGTTTTATTACTGGTAAGCTTTTTTAAATTGTGTTGTTTAGTTTCTTTAAAATTTTATATTAAAATTTCTAATATTCTATCCTATTATAACTTTGATTTCAGCAGAGCTATAAAGCAGGGTTATAGCAAAAAGTAGAAAAATTAGGCAATTACAGACTAACAGCATAATCAATTATGTCAAATCGAAGAAAAGAATCTTTCTGCTACGAGCATTCCAGTTTGAGTTTTTGCTTCTAGCAATGCTTATATTTTATCTTATAACCTTTAGTATGAAGCATTATATTTAATCTCAGTATTTTAAGTCAGTGATCTCCAACCTCTCAGCTGCGAACTGAAACTGGTCCTTGGATCAAATGGTACCAGGCCATCCACAAAACTTTAAATTATTCCCATTTTATTTACTGTGCTGTATTTTCCCTCAGTTTTGTATTACTTTCCATGAATTTCCATGAACGAGAGGTTAACTGGGAGCTGAGAAGCGTCACTTAAAGCCGCACCAATGCCATGCATGTAATTGTAATTTATTTAGAAGGCATGTTTAAATACAATTAAATTAAAATTATTAAATTAGAACAATCCAAAATATAAACAATAAATGATGCTAACCTCTGTGGGCTGCAGTAAAATTATCAAACGTTGACTGGTCCATGGTGATAAAAATGTTGGGAAGCACTGCCTTAAGTGAAATAATTATAAACCTTTAAACTAACAAGCTTTATGATTTAAAATTCATATCTATATACTACTTAATTTTCAAGTGTAATAAAATGCACTAACTGGTATAAAAATTAATTTTCTCTGAACTTGTATGCCTTCTTTTTATTATCTTGAATATAGCAATCAAAAAAATACATGCCAAACTAAATTTTAAATTTGCCTATATATAGGTACTTAAGATAAAAGTGCTTAAAATAGATAATGTTGTTTTATGATCAACATTTTCCTCATGTCCTATTTAAGTAACTCATAAATTAAAGATGTTTGAACACAATTTTAAAATTTATTTATTTGAACATAATTACTACAAATAAATAAGTTTTATTAAAAATTTATTTTTTAATTTAATGCTTATTAGAAAATGTATTGATTTTTTAATAAAATATATTCATATTCTTTTGGCCTTTGAAAGGATTTTAAATCGGGGTGTATTTTTATGTCTAACATCTTTATAGGTTTGCCATTGTTAACACTTAGGAGGCAAAAGACTATGATACATTACACGCAATGTTAAAAGCAGAGAGACTGTAATTGCAGTCATGAGAAAGACAACAATGATGGGCTATAATCTGTTACGTTTAATAAACTTATATTTGTTATTTAAATATGTTTTATTTTGAAATAATGTTTTATTTGCTACTCATTTATTAACTAAGTCTTTTTTTTATTTACAAAGTTATTACTTCATATCATTAATATTTAGAAAATATGAACGAAAAATTCTGGATTTGCTGATTACCTGTTCAAAAACATTGGAAATCATGCTTACATACAAATTGTTAGAATAAACTTAATTTATTTTTATGAAACTATATTCAATGTAATTTAAATATATTTAGTGATAAAATGTTTCTAAGTTTAGTGATAAAAGAATTCCATGCATCTGTTCTATTGTTTTTATAAGAAACATTTTTTAACCAAATCCTCATTGGGTATGTTTTTCAGGGAGATTCTCTTGCACGATTTTATCTATATTCTTTGCCACAAGTGAGTTTTTATTCTTTGATTCAGAGTACTCATCCTGGTGTGCCTTCAAAAATTGCTTTAAATTGTGTCTCTGAGTAAGTATGTTTCTAATATGAATAAATATGAATAAATACAATTATACTATGCATATTGAAGTAATATTATCTGGAATATGCAGTTAAGTTCAGTAAACGAGGAAAATAATAATATAAGCATGTTGTTTACATTAATCTTTTGTTTATTTATTTTTGCAGTGTGATGGCTTGTATCAATGTCTTTGGAGAAATTACCTTCCATGCTATTTCAGATTATTGGAATTCATCAAAAAACCACTCTGATTCAAACCCTCTAAGTATTAAGAGATCTTCCTTTGATTCTAAACAACCATTTCAAAAAACTACTGAATCTGGCATAATTGATGAAACATCTGATTCCAGAATATCTAGATCAAAAGCAAATTTCAATTCAATGAAATCAGGAAAATTTTCACTCTCTAATTCTCTGGAGCCAAATGGAATTATGATAGATAATGAAGAAAGTGAGAGTTTTGGAGGTTTTCAACAACAAAAGTGGAGGAGTTCAAAAACTGTTTCTGATTCTTTATCAGGATTTGGTGAAAAATCCAACTTCAATTCAAGAAGTGATGCAACTACTGTTTCTTCGAAGCCTATAGAATTTGATCGCAAATGTGCTTGGGATATTTTGTGGGCATCTGTAAGTATATTTGGAATTCCTTTTTGTTATTCAATTATAGCTGGAGAAGAGATTTTATAGTTTTGCCTTTTTTAAAAAATTTTGCTCATTTCTGCAAAAAAATAAGTGATTACTACCACTTAGCAAGAATTATAATTGCTTTTTTTATAAATTTTATAGCTTCTATATTTTTAAAGCTTTTATCAGAAGTAAGTTTATTCCAGTGGCTTTAATAATTATAGAAGAAAGCTTATGATATTGAGAGTAAAAAAGATGTAACAAAACATTCTCCATCTTTAGCTTTGAAAGATGAGAAACAAATTTGTGCTCTGAAGTATATGAAGAAATTTTAATGTATAGTAATATTTAAAATAAGAATGTAAAATATTTTTATTTTTTGAATCAGTGGTTTCTTATAATCCATAAATGAATAATACAAAGAATTATTTTACTTTATTCTTTTTTTCACAGGATGATGGACAAATGTGTGCAATTATGGATAAAATGAGAATGTACATTTATCGAGGAACAGAACCTGAAGTAAGCTTTTTCTTCTAATTGTAATGTAAGATTATATATAGAAGTTTTTCATGCTTAATTTCAATTAATACACATTATCTTTTTTGCTTTTAATTCTTCATATAAAACATTTGTTGGCTAGGAGCTATTTTGAAAACGTCACTTATTTTTCCTACTATTATTTTTAATTACTCTCTTTCTAAATTGAAAGTTATTTCATTACAGAAACAAAAACATTTCTTTTATGTTAATTTCTTTTTCCATCTCATTTATGTTTTCCAAAAATGTGAACTTTAATGTTTTATCTACATTGCATTGCATACTTGTTAACTTTTCCATTGGTTACTTCAATCTTGCATATGTATCCCTTAACGGGCATGAAATTAACCCAGGTCTATCTGATACCTAATATGTCATAAACTGTTTTGATAGATATAGCTCATGTTTGTGAGGCATTCTAAGTTTTAATGGTTATTGCTTGCTACTTTACGAAAATAATGTCTGTTATAACAAAGCTTGATCTTTAAAAAGATAGTTGATCAGTAGTAAAATCAGATAGTTGAAAGAAGTAAAAAGTAATAAAATTAACATGCAAATTTTTAAAATTTTAAAAAAAGAATCCTCTAAAAAATTTATTATCTGAAAAGCTGTGAATTATTGATGAACTAGCATATTATTAATGCACTTTTCAATATTTTTTGTAACAAATCATTTGTAATTTTTAAAATAGTTTATTTTTCTAAAATAGTGTATGCTTATTTCTAGTCAGGGAAATAAAATAATGCACCATTTAATTTCCACTAGCTTCGTTTATATCTGTGCCCTTGTGATGTGAAATAATAATCACTTTGGCAATTTACATAAGGCAATGATGTGTGACCCATGTGTAGATGTGTTAAACTCTTTTTTTATAACTAAATAGCTGTCATTCTGTTTATGATTTGGCCTGTATATTTATAATAATATTTAACTTAGTTTTTAGTAAGAACTTTTCATCTTGGATTATGAAATTCTCGTCTGGTATTACGCTATCTTGTAAAAGTTCATTGAAGCATAAAATACCTAGATATTTTTTTTATTGAAACAAAAGCTACAGATGGTATATCTCTATTTTTATTAACATAAATGACTTGGCATAGTTTAATACAGCTGTGATTCAAAATTCTTATGAAAATCTATTTCATCATTTTCAAAATAATATTACAAATTAACTATTTTCAGGAGCCCATGACATGCTTGGGCTATATGTGTGAATTTAAAGATTTAGAGGTAAAAGCAGTGCTTTTAACAGATTTAATGCAAAATCCTGATGAACCAGAGGATGTATATTTTTTTAAGAATGATGTTAAAGTAAGTTATTCTAAATTATACATTAATTTTTCATAGCTCTATAAAAAGCTGGAACATTTTATTGAATTATATTATACCAAATTTTAGTATCTGTATACTTGTAATTTCGTAATTCAACTTATCAAAAACCTTGAAAATATAACAGCAAAAATTTTCATTGCTTATAATCATTTTTACGAACAGCAGCACCACATTAAAAAGGGCACTATAAATAACGAAAGAAATGTATGCAATTAAATAAGGAAAAATGTAAAGCAATATACTGAATAAGCATAACGTAGGTTAAAGAAGTAAATGTTACAATACCTTATTGTATACTTATAAATGGTTTAGTTGTATATTTTATTCAAAATTCTTATTAATTAAAAATTTACAATGAAATTTTTAAGTTTATTTGTAGATTTAATGAAGTTGTGTGATCATAATATTTTTATGCTCATATGTAAAAAAGTATACATAATATGTATTTTGAATGCATAAAAGTTTTATATGATGTTCTATATAAAATGTTTTATATTTGTGTATGAGATCTCTATTACTATATTCTGAAATGTTTCGTTGCTGTTGTTTTCAAAAATTTTGTAAATAGGCATGAACAAAAAGTTACTTGAAAATAGATACTACAAGTAATATGCCATTTTTAGTAAATTGGTTTATGACCAAAGAGTCTACATATCCTAGATGCCAGTTCACTGTGACACCTAACGAATCGTAGTTAACACCCAATATTTTATAAAAACATTAACATTAAAGTTAAAAGCTGTTCCGTTTCGTAACTAAATAGGTCCTAACAATTTTGCACTTTTGTAGACCTCTGCTTATAATTATTTTTCCTGAAGAGAAAAAAGCAAGTTTTATAAGTCAAGTATTTAAATTTTTAAATCGATCTTTTCAACAGATAAACTTATAAATGATAATGTAACTTATATTTAGTAGCATTATTTTCACACTATCTATTATGTCTACATAAAATCTTCCAGTTTTTTTTTTGTAGATTATTGCATTCTACTTTTTACTGTGTTATTTTAAATCCCCCATTAAATTTGTTTAGGATATTTGATTTGCGTCTGTTATAAAAGAAAAACATTGGTCATCTTTATGAAGCTTTTATGTTATTTTATTTTCCTTTTCTAGTCACTTAGAGATACAAGGAATCTAATTAGCAATGTTGGATTGAAGGATGCTGCTCAATTCATTGAAGAGAATCCTCATCCTAGATTATGGTAACAGTTTGTCATGCTTTATAGAGAGACTTATAATCTTGTATTATTCAATTATTTTGTACTATTCATTCAATAGTTCAATTTGTGAAATTCCATTTGAATATATCGGTACAATTTACTTGTAAATCTTGGTCTGTATTTAGTTATAATTCTTTTTTTTAAATTTTAATTTGATTTGATTATAATTTAATGAAGTTTATTGCATTTAGGGAATTTCAAATTTTTGCTGTCTTTTTTAAATGCAAATTTATTTGAACTGTATTCAAGATTGTACAAAAAATCTCCATTATTATAAATTTATTACAGATATTGTCAATTATTTTGCATCTTTTTTAGTTCCATTACTCATTAATAATAGAAAAGATGCCTTTTTTGCTTTTTTCTGAAAGTCAATGTTTTAATTTTTATCTTTAGGCGCTTACTTGCTGAAGGAGCTTTACTTAAAATGGATTTTACAACTGCAGAATCTGCTTTTGTGAGGTGTAAAGACTATCAAGGAATTCAATTTGTCAAAAATGTTTCCGGTATAAATGTATGTAATAAACACTATTGTTCTCTATTTTTATAGAACTGTTTTCTTTTCCATTTTTTATTCCCTTTTTTTATTTAAATATTTAGTATTATCAAATATGATTAAATTTATTACATTATTTTTCAAAAAAGTATAGTTTTTAAATAGAAAATAATTATTTTCATTAATTTTTTTAATTAATTACTCAATATTCTTTGTGAAACTACCCCATAATATTTTATGCAACTGTTATTTTTGTTTTTATCTTCTCGGTAGAATGATACGATCAAAAGAGCTGAGGTACAAGCTTATTTTGGTAACTTTGATGAAGTTGACCGCATATATTTATCAACTGACAGAGTGTAAGTAAAATAATTCTATTTAGCTAACTACATTAAATCTCACTATTTAACTTTTTTGTTTTTATAAATGCTATTGATTTCCATTTATGAGATAAAGGCACTGTTATCAAAGTATAGGTTCCTAACTAAATGGGTATCTTCAGGTATCCATAAATTGTTTTCTAGGGAGACGTGTTTCTCACATGTGGTAAAAATTAAGGCTCTTAAAATCACAATCTTATAATAATTTTAATTCTTTTTTTATAATTTTCTGTGTAGTTTTTTTATTTAAGGAAATATTTGCATTTATATATTATGCTGCTTGAGTGACTGTCTTGGTTTAAAGCCTAATTTTTTAAAAAAATTGAAGTATAAAAATAGTCTCTAGCTTTTGTATTAAATTAGAAATAATTAACTGTGGCATGCATTTAAGATACTTTAAATATAAACATTAAAAAATATAAAATAAAAAGAAAATATTGCTACCGCTGCGCTATAACAACTAGCTCTAGAGTGACTCTTAATAAGTCTTTCCCTTTTTATAACGAATTCATATTTTGGCCTCAATAATACAAACAATAAAATATTATGAGTTTTACCCCTTTATTTCAGTAAGAGTAAGTTAAGTTTTTTTTAATTTATCACTTATCTGCTTAAGATGTATTATTTCTTTCAACTCATAATTTATATTAATGATAAATGTGGTTTAACAGAATATATGTTTGTGATTAATCTAAAATTTCAAAAACTTACTGTTTAAAATTTACTATATATTTTTTTTCTTAATTTAGTGTTTATAAATTTTTATTCTGAACTGTTTATTTAGTAAAGAAATTTTACTGTTTTAATGCAATTAGCTGATGCTTTTATATATTTATTGAAACTGTTGTATAATTTAGGTTCAAGGCTTACTGTATAAGATCAGTTACTCAATTTTTATTTGTTTTTAAAGCTTGAATATTGTCTTTATTAACCAAGAGATTTTGCACACTATTCTTGATGTTTGCTATACAATTTAGGCTTTCTATATAATCTTATTAAAAAGCAAGCTTTAGTAGGAACAAGAAGTTAGTTTTAAACTCATATGACTCTTTATTTATTGAGGTCAATGTTATTGGTACACTTCTAATTTGTTTTTGTATGCATTTCTAATTATTCATGAAAGGTTGCATAACAATTTTATTAAAAGAACATATTAAAATATTATGTTAATTTGTTGGGGTTTTTTTAAATTTAGAATATCTGCTATTGATTTGCATCGTCTTTTGGGAAATTGGTTTAGAGTATTTGAGCTGTTAAAAGGGGATCTTTTAGAAGTGACAGAAATGGAAGAAGCTTGGAATGGTGTTGCTGATTACTATTTTGACAGACAACAATGGTAACATATACAGTAACTATTTGAAAAAGTTAGTTTTTTTACCGCATATAAAATTTTACTTTTCTGTATAGTGAAGTAAAATTTTATTTAAAAAACATTTCCTGAACAGTAACAGAAAAAGTTTAAAATAAATACATTTTTAAAAATTATATGTCTTAAATAAGTTTTTATGTCTTAAATAAGTTTTTATGTCTTGAATGATAGGTTTACAAATATTTTCAAAAACATACATTTTTACTACTTAGAACTATTAAATATTTTGTACTTATTTCTTTAATATAAGTTAGACAAGTATACAATTCTTGTAATATAAGTTAGAAAAAACAACAAATATTTTATATGAAATTAAAGATTGCATACTTTTGGTTGAAAATAGAAAAACTGTCTTCTTCGCTATAAAATTAAACAAAGAATAAATAGATTTATCAACTATTAAAATTAGGAAAAACATTTCACTGAAAAAACCTATGTTATTAATTTTTTTCTTACATTATATCTCTTTGTGGGACATTTTCTTAAAATAATTGTCCCTCCCCCCCATAGTTAACTTCAATTGTGCTATTATAGTGACCAAAAATAATAAGAAATGCAGTTTCAATATAAAGAGAAAGTAAACCACAATTCTTATAAAAATAGAGCTAATGAATTCTTTAATAAATTTCCTTATCAATGCATTTTTCTTTTCATTCTGTTTGGGCAACTACTTTAAACTTATTATAATAATGTGTAGCGTTATTATTTTGTTTATAACATTTAACTATCTAGATATTCTGTATGAAAATCGGATACTATTTCACCTAATCTCACATATTAATCTTGATTTTCATTAACTATTCCTGCGGACATAATTTTATCCAGTTTTACTTAAATTTAGCTTCTTACATTAAACTTCAATAACCATCTAATAAAATTTCTCCACATTTTTTTAAAGTTATTCACCCTTAATTTTTCATTTTATATATGACAAAAATGAAATTTTTTCTCTGTGTTAGTCCACTGTAAAAGCATGTTTTAAAAATTTTAAATATATAAGCAATAAAAAAATTTGATTGCATATAAATAATTAGAAAGTTTAATCTGCGATGTAACATGAAAGCCCACTTTCTTAATATTATTTCATTTTAAACTTTTCTGTTGCAGTGGTATGAATTTTTGACTCGAAATAGTTTGGGTTTTCAATTTAGTATTATTTTTAGCAATTATCATAAATGATAATAGTGTCTTTTTTTTTCTTATGAATTCAGATCATATGCAGTTCAGATCATATGCAGTCAGATCATATGCATGAGATTAAATGTTAGTCAAATGTGCAGTTTTATAACTATTTTTTTGTCTTTTAATTGCAACTCTAAAATTGTATTTCTATTCTTTGGTTATTTTATTATCTCTTTTTACCCATAAAATTGTGATAAATATTTAAATTTCAATGTTCATGCTACTTTTACTTGATTAAACTAATCATTATTTTTTTAATGAATATATATTTTCAGTTTCAGCTGCATAAATATCTTTCCTAAATTAACAATCAAATGTACCCTGCATGTAAATGTTTGAATATCTCATAATAATTAATCTTACTTAAGTATTTTTCTTAAAATTGTATAAGATAGGAAGTGAATCTTTAGTTTCACAATTTTAAAGAAAATACTTAAGTTTATAAATTTTCCATATATCTTTTATTTTTCATCTTGTTCAAGTGTGAGAAGATATTTTTTTAACTGTTTAAACAATTTTTGAAATTTTTAGTAAAAACCCTTTGCACTGTTCTATCATGAATATTGTTCCTAGAACTACTGTAAAATGTAAAGGAAATATTTTTCGTGTAGGAAGTTGAGAAAAATTTAGAATTTTGTATTTTGCAATTTTATATTGTGTGTCATTTTCCTTATAAGGTTCCAAAATTTATAAAATTCATACATTCTAACTATTCATGTATGCATTTTCCCGTTTGCAGACTATCTTGTGCAAAAACCATATTTTAGGAAAAAAATTATTTGTGTTATTAATGTGTTGATTAAATAAAAGGGATAGAGAACAACAGAAGGAGATGTTGGCAATGAAAAGATTAGGCATGTTATAAAGATATTGTATCACCAAGTGAAATTACATATTTTGCTCAATGATTGGTGTATTATTGTTAGGGATACAATCATTCCTCGTGTTTAGCCCAAATTATTTGGCGCATACTTTCTGTTCTTTTTCTGTAAGAAATTTTAGATTTCTTTAATTGGAAAAAATCTAGCTCTTACATTTTAGTTAAAAGTAAGCATTATTTTGCAATAAGAATACATATTAATTTTTTCTTATGTTTTTTTTTTTTTTTTTTCATATGAAAAACGTTTTTTTAAGTTCTAACATATCTTTTATAGTTATTGATTTTTAAATGAATCATTCCCAAAAAGTTCTGCAAATGTTGTCCTTTAAGTTCAATAGCATTTAGATTTTTATATTGTCTTGATATTTCAAACCTTGCAATAATAATAGAGCACATTTCTAGTTGTTACTTACCTAATTTCATGATAAGAAATTATTAAAACAATAGCTTAAAATTGTTTATATTTTTTAAAACTATATGATATTCATTTATTTTGAAAAGCAAGCAGGGGCAACAACATCAGAAAAATGACTCTTGTCACTCTTTAATGTCATTCTTGAATTAATAAATTTAATTGAACTCAATTTTGCTTTTCTCTTTTTAATTTTCCTTGTATTTTGTGTACCATAAAGGAATTATAAGAAATTTCAAAATTTTATTCTTAAACACGCTTTTTATTACTGTGTAAGTAACTATGTTGAATGCATATTAATAAATAGGAAGGCAGGGAAAAAGAGAAGGGTTTTTGAACCAGATTTCTAAAATTTATATTCCCTTAGATAAAAATTTGTTCCAGCTGTGCAGTGTACCATTAATTCTACAGTTTCTTGGAGCACTCAAAGAACACCATTTGAACTGCTAACAGAAATAAAAATATGAACAAAAAAAGGGCTTAAAAATTCTGCAAATATTGGTAGAAGAGAACATAAAATCCTTTATCCAAGAGAGAGAGAACATCCAAGAAGAAGCTAAAAAGAATGTCTGGAAGATCCAAGAAGAGAACCGCAGGCAATACAATAAAAGAAAGAAGAAAGCCAATGAATATCAAGTAGGAGACTTAGTTGCAATCCAGAGAAGTCAGTTTGGATCTGGTTTTAAATTAAGACCACAGTTCTTCGGTCGCAACTAAATAAAAAAGTAAAGGAGAACGGTAGATACGATGTATTAAAAGTCGGGAATCATGAAGGACCAAGTGACTCTTCATCTACAGCTGACCACATGAAACCATGGTCAGTAAATTTAAAAAAAAAAACATTTATTTTCCATACTTTGCTTTCTCGTTTTTCTATTTTGCAGGTAACTGTTTCTTAGATAATAGAAAAAAATGCAGACATTTTCACCTCAGGATGGCCAAAATGAAGTAGATATTATAGAACTTCATCCTCAAAACCATCAACTTTCTCACTGAAAGGTGCTAGTCTGTCTACAAGGGCAAAATCTCAGAATCCATGGAGCCATAGTGTCTGGACGGAAAAGTCCCGAAATATTCATTTGACTTATTCTTTTTTTTAGATCTATATACTTTTAGTCGTCAGTCTTTGTTCTGCAACGCTGCGTGTAGGCAGCTCTCTGCTATCGATGTAGCTGTTATACTTATTTTCCTTCTTTATTAAATTTAGCTTAATTCTTAAATTAATTGTTGTCTTTTTTTTTCTCTCTTATTTCACAAATCACTACATATATGTATTAAAATAATATTATCTTGAATTATTTAAATCTTTATTAAGAAGAAATTAAAAGTAAAAATGAAGTTTTACTTATTTCATTTTGATTTAGGTCTGAGGCATTAAACTATTATGAAAAGGCTCACAATGAAGACAGAATTGCAGAATGCCAGTATATGCTTGAAGACTATTCAGGACTTGAAAAATTATTAAATGATTTACCAGAAAATCATGCATTGTTACCAGTAAGTTTTGAAATTCTTTGTAGGTGACTATTATAGAAGTTTATATTATCTTGAAAATGTTTTTTTTAAGAATATCAAGTGCTTAAATATTTGTTAATTTTAATTCTACTAAAGCGTATTTAATTTTTTTGACTTAAAGAACTGTACAGACCTAAAATATTTTAGTTCCTCATTATGGTTTAAGGAAAAGTTCATAATCAAAATAATGTTTTTATTGTTAGGAACTAGGTTCGATGTTTGCATCTGTTGGTATGTGTGAGCAAGCAGTCTCTTCATACATTAAGGTATCTTTTTATTTTGATTATTTATATGCTAGCTATTTTTGTATTAGTTTCTTGAGATAATTCAAATGAATGTATGCCCAAATTTTTTTTTTTTTAATTCAGCTTTTTATTAAAAAAATAAAATAGTTCTTTTCAATGAAAATATCTTAAATTGTAAATACTTCTAAACACTTTTATAAAATATAATGCATAATTAATCTAGTTTTATGTAAAATAGTTTTAATCATATTAATATGCCCTCTCATGCATGACAACATGAAAAGAAGTTGTAATTGAAACAATTTAATAAATATTTTTTCTTAAAATTATTTTGATAATAAACTTTATAATGGATCAAGATATTGCAGATCTGTTCTCCATTTTCACTGTAACTTTGCTTGATATTTTTTTAATTCAAGCAGTTGTTAGAAGTTATGCAACTGAAAAATTATTAATTCATTGAAAGATTATATCTATATAATCATTATAGTAAGTGGTAGGAATGTGGATGTGTGTATACATCAATTTTAATTTGTCACTTTTAAGAGAGTTTCTTTAATATGAAAAAGTAAATAAGTTGAGGAGTTATTAAAGTTAATCTGTGTATGTTGGAAGGTATTGTTTTGCCCATACGGCAAAATTGTTTTGTATTAAAGCATGTAGTGATTTTCTTTTTGTAGTCTTAAATCTAAAGCTTCTACTATATCTAAAATATTAATTTTGACACTGTTAATATTATGTTCTCTAAAATGATTCAATTCCTGGTTATTCTATCTTGTTTCAATTTTTTTTCTTTTGAGTGCTCCTCACGCTATTTTATTGATATATTTTGCTTTGTCTATATTGATACAATATTAGAAAGCACTCCTTTTTGCAGATATAATTGTGTGAGCTGATGAAGAGATTAAATCTTTTTTTTTCCAGGATTTTATTAATTTTTTTTTTAATAATTTTTTTTTCTCTTTTTTCATAAATTTTGTCACTTAATTCCTTTTTTTTCTTTAATATA